GTTTGGACGATCAGGACAATCACAAAGTGTTAAAAAAAGTAATGTTTTTCTTCTGACATATAAACATTTTTATCATTTAAATAGTGCTATATCATATTAACATGTTTTTATTGTTTACAGGTTCATCCACTAAAATACGCCTACCTGAAAGAATACCTCTTTCTCACAGAAGTACATCAAAGAAAAATGGTTAGTATATATATATTTTTTTTATTGTGTTTGTGATCAGTATTTTTATATATATTATATTTCTTTTACAGAACATAATTCATGTGTAAAATTCTTTCATGGTGAAACAAATGTAAGGCGAAATTTAGACTTTACAAAAATATCAACCTCTGGAGAAAAAATTGAAACACTTTCAAAACCAAACGAGAATAATCCAAGTAATATGTTGCCAACAAAAAACTTGCGATTATCTACTAGAAAAAGTTTGTTATTGGCACCGAATACTATAAAAGATTGGCACGTTAAAAACAGATTGGAGCAAAACAAATCGATATTACCTCAATTCGGCATTTCAGCATTGGATTCTAAAAGTAGACAATATAGAATATCCGATGGATTGGAAGGCTGTTTATTTCCTGTTAAAAATACAAACGCACATATTAATTCTGTTATACCTGAGAAGAGTAACAAAACATCAGTTATACAACATACATCGTCGCAAACATTTAATATGAATAATCAGTCTGGTGTACAAAATCTAAATTCTACTGATTTGGATCTTCTAACCACAAGCAATGAAAATGTATTGGGAAAACAAATCCCGAGAAATTTAAATTGTATCGAAATTTTGGATGCTAACACTTACAATAGCCAAAATAGCTCTATTACAATCAACCAACTGTCTTCTACATATGATATGGAAACAAAATTAAATGCAGATTTATATAATAGTAATAACACAGATAATAATCAAGATAATATTCATTGTGTAGATCAGTCTGTACAGACGACATATACATTACTCGATACAGAACAGTTGAAGGATTCTGCATGTTCTATTCATGTCGAACAAGAGAGACACTTGTCTACAACTGCGAGAATTTGTCGAAAAGATTGGCATCTATCTCTACAAACAATAAAAACGATGAGCGAGTCGTTTGCACATTTACAGCATGATACTGAAGAGAGCAATTCACATGTGACTCTTAGTAAAACAGGGCTCACTGTTTTGCAGTCCAATTTGAAACATCTTATTTGCAGGCTAGAGGAAGATCTGTCTTGTTTGAAATTGATATCAACTCTTATTGCAAACACGTTATTTGAAGCAAATGTGACAAATAAGGCAAGCGAAAATAATGAGACAAAGATTAAGCATCTAGCGACTAAAAATTTAAACAATACAGAAGAGGTGGATAATGTAAAAACTGAATCCCCGTCAATGTTGGTTAACAATTTAACATCGAAGAATATTATCACTGATAGCGATAATATTGTAGAAGAAACTTGTAAATCATCTGACGTTACATCAGATTTCTTAGAAAATGATGTATCGAAGAAATATAATTCCGAAATGCAGTCACTGCAGCAGATCGATATTGCTTCTGAACATGATAAGGAAAATAAAGAAATTTTAAACACGCCATTAAATGTAAAACGTATGAAGCCTAAATCTGAAACGAGAAGACGCTCCGCACGCTTGATGGAAAAAACTGCAAGCAAATTGAATGTGACGAATGATAGTTTCGTGAATTTGGAAGATGAATTGAATATTATGAATGTACAATCCAACGCGACACCGAAATTGCTAAAAGAATGTACTACTCCGGCGAATAAGAATAAAGATAAGAAAGTAGGAAGACCTTTAAGGGAATATATGGCTTTAAAGTCACGTATGAGTTGTTTGTTGACGCCTAACATGAAACGATTCCATTCTTTAGAGTCGAAAAGTAATGCATGTGCTGACACTGGTGGCACAAAAGCTTCCTTGTCGAATAAGGTACTCGCCGAACTTCATAATTTATACGCAGATTCACCAGAGACATAATTTTTTACATACAAGACGTCTCGGAATAATCACGACAACGCTCGTTAGCTTTATGATATAGAAATTTTATTTTTTGTATATTATTGTGGTATATTATTATTTATTAACAAAGAGTGTTGAATGAAAATAAAATTATGTTATAGAATTTTGTATAATTGAATAAGAAAATAAAATGCGAGTGAAGGAAATATAAAACTACAGATGTTTCAATAAATCTTTATTTCTATATGTAAAAGTGTATTTCAAATTTGTTTCGTATTTGACGTCTAATAACAATAAAATTAATGTCTGATTTTGTAAAAGTATATTTTAAATATAATAATGCCAGCTTATATACAATATAAAGTAAATAAATTTGATGTAAGATTATTCCTTTTACAATTTTTCAATTAAATTGTTTTTTTCAGATCGCTACGTTATCGACGTTACTTTATCTTGAGTTTAGGAAATTCATCACTGAGAGGTGCTGCGATCATTTTCATACAGTTTTTCTATCTCTCTTCAGCCTTCTTGATATTTCATATAAGAGCACATAAGAGCATTGGAACACATTCGAAGCAATTGCAAGAGCATAATGACACAATTCGGTGCTTACTGTCGGGGCACTTCGTCGCCGTCGACCGCATTAGTCATCGATTGTTGATTATGTCATGTGCTCGTCCGGTGCAGTATAATGCGCGAGAATAAGTGTCATTGAGTAAAAGGAGAAGAAAGCTTGGCGCGTCCCAAGCACAGAGTGAACGCAGAAGTGTGTGCTGACTGCGGAGCACTCGGTTAGCGCATTGTTTTTCTACATAATCGCCTACTTGGTTCTGTGCCTTCGCAACGAGACTGTATTCCACGATATAAGACATATGATAATTGTTATCGATGTGTTGAGCATTTTGTCGAACGTGTTTTTTGAATATGTTACTTTGATTCTAATAGTGTATACAAACATCTATTTAAATATACAGACTTTTATTTAACAGCATTTAATTAATTTAAATTTAATTTAAAGAATCTCATATATTTGATATGTTGTTTCAGAACCAGGATGGGCATCGATAAACAGAGCTATTTTACTATGTGACGATTGTTGTGGAATTCATCGTAGTCTAGGTCGGCATGTGTCGCATATTAAGTCACTGCATAAGGGTGTTTGGAATGCTCATTTATTGAATGTTAGTAAAAATAATTAGTAAACAATAACTGTAAGAAGCATAAAAAACAGTTTTCACCAAATTTTCACTATATATATCACATTGCTTCAAATAACTAGACAAATGTTTCAGATGGTGCATACATTGAATGATGGAGCTAACAGTATTTGGGAACATTCTTTGTTAGATCCCAGCAACTCAAAGATCAGCAGAAGAAAACCACAGGCTAAGGATCCTTTACAGTGAGCAATTGATTATATATTTTATATTTATCAATATGTTTTGAAGTAACTCAAATTTATAAAAAGTTGCTGCAATTCTTTGGAGTAAAACTAACTTTAGAAATACTTTTACAATATCAGGTTTTTTATATGCATTTTTGATATAAAATTGTGTTTCTTGTTACATTGCTTGCTTACAGTCCTATAAAAGCAGATTTTATTAAGGCAAAGCATCAACTCTTAGCCTTCATATTACGGCCGAGTAAAGAAGAATGTTGTACTGAAGAGGAACTCAACAGACAGTTGCACAGTAGCGTTCGTACAAGCAACTTGGAAACTTCGTTGAGGTTATTGGCTCAGGGAGCTAACCCCAATTATTTTTATAAGGTATATCTTATTATTGATTTATTGTGTAAGTGTATGTTAAAATTCACATTGTTCATACAAGTGTTAGACTTTTAAATAATGTCGAATTGTTATTAGACAACACTTGTTAGGTTAATTATATATATTATGTGTAATGTGCAGGAGAAAGGAACTACACCCTTGCACGTTGCAGCTCGTGCTGGGCAAGCTCTTCAAGTTGAACTTTTAGTAGCTAATGGTGCAAATCCAAATGTAATTGATACGAACGGACAGACAGCTGCTGATATTGCCAAGTAAGTAGCAATAATATTTTTAATGCGATATACATGATAGATATTTCACGATAAAATATTTGGTGTATTATTTCAGAATGGCGGGACATATAGATTTATCCGAACGCATAATTGAATGTATGTATGAAGTAACAGATAGATTGACACATCACATATCTTCTCGTAAGTTGAGTCACCGAGGTGACGAACATCTCATCATTTCCGATTTGGCCTCCAATTTAGACAAGAACGATATAACTCTAGAAGGAAAAAATAGATTACAAATGGTACATAAAAATTTGTAAGACAAGATAAGATTATTTTCTTGATTTATTTTTGTTTCACTGATCTATTCATTTATTTGATTTATTTGTTACGTATTTTATTTACATTTTAGTTACCAAATCATTTGTTGGAAGAATTAGCTATGGACGTTTACGATGAGGTAGATCGCCGAGAAATAGAAACAAGTGAGTATTGTTTTTATATTATACCAGTATATCTTTGCTTTATACACAAAGATTAGAAAAGATATATTAATTATAATTAGGTATATGTTAATTTGGATTGTTAACGATACATATATATTTTTGTTACGCTATTCCCATGGAAGGGTGAGTAAAAAAATGTCAACTTAATTAGCAATGTGATTTTAAAGTTTAAAATCAGTTCTAATGAAGTTATTCATAATATATGAGTAACACATAAGGCAGATTAATATCATATTTTACAGTCTGGTTTTCAACTGCAACCCTTCCGGAGAAGTGTACCGTTCCGTTTTTGCCGGTTAATCCGCAGTTGTCATCCACCAGAAACCAAGGAAGGCAGAAATTGGCAAGATTTATGCCAAAAGAATTCACCACCCTCATCGTAGATTTATTGGTTGAAGCGAGTCGAAGACATATGCTCGCCACTAACACACTTCAAAGTAATGTCGCGAATTAAAAGCTTATACATTTTATAATATAGAATTTTTAACACTTTGCTGTATTGTGTACATCCATTGTTCTTCAGATCCCGCGGTATCTCTGCTTCGCAAAGAGCAACTTGGTAAGCACGGATCGCAAGTATCTGACGACGAACCTTTATACGATAGTGTCGCGTCCGACGATGATTACGCTGCGCTAACGTCGACGGATAACACTTCATCTGACGTTTCAAATCAGCTTAAAATTAGTAATGAGGTAAGTTTCGACTCAAGAGGTAACTCAATACTTGGTTTCTTAAATATAAAAAAGTGCATTAATAAACACAATGCTTGGAACAATAGTTATGAATATTGAGCATCCTTGTATAGAAACAAAATATTGTTGTTTTAATGTACAGATTGCAACATAACATATGTGAGTATACTAGCTCTGCAAACTGTTACTTTACTTTTTTTTAAATTACATCCCAAGAGAGATGAGAAAATGTATAATCTCACAAAAAGAAAGACACTTGATATTAGTTATATTTACTTGTTTGTGGTGAAATATTGAAGGTACCGGCACTAGTAACAAAAAGAGGAATAAGGGATTGGCTGAGCACGTGGCTTTTCTGTAGGCAGTGTTATTAGGCAAGTGCACAGGTCTGTTTGTGCATGTGCAACCATTGCCAAGAGCGCAAATCTGAGCATTGTGAAACATTAATCAGCCATTTAATTTATATAACGATCCGCAATTCGCTAAACACCATGATTTACAATAATATTGCAGTAATAATGTATTCCAATATATAACATTTGTTTGCGTGATCATTATAACATGCTCCAAGTTTCTAACATAATGTTAGCTTAAAATAAATATTGCTATTGCATATTGTTCCAGGAGGCGTTTGCGCCAATGGCTAAGGGTCTTCCATCCATGGTAGAAGTTCTAAAGAAACAATTGACCCTGTCTGAATCCACCGTACAAGATCTTCGCGAGCAAATACACACCTTACAAACCGCTGTTGAGCAACTCACTCAAGAAAACAGCGAACTGAAACATATGCTACAAGTAATTACATACTATTTTATTTGTTACGCAGCAAGCAGCATTACAGAATTTAATAATATGTATGCTGAGATATATTTATATGTGATCTAATAGCGTTGCGTAATCGAGTCCGTCTGTTCTCAGTGCATTATAATAACCTGTCTTCCGGTAGTTCTTTTTCTAAGCTAAAGATACAATTTTATTGTATAATCCGATACTAATCCAGGTTAAAGGTCCCGGCGATGGCAACATGAACGGGCACGTCGGCGGGGAACAGGAACCTGAATTGGAACCAGTACATGATATCAAAACTATACGTGGAAATCAACGACCGGCATCTATGTATGAGACAAGAGAAGGCTTACGAAAACCGGCATCGTGGTCAACAACCATTTGTCAAGTAATTATTTCTTTCTGAAAGCTAGCTAACGGAATGTATCAAGTATTGCATTGTATCTGATTTATACAATCCGCTTTATTTGCAGACAAAGCGCGATACAGAAGCATTATCGCGGAATAATACACAAAGCCTGTGGGAATGCGGCGCTCCTAATCTGCCGCCGAGTGAAGAGGTGACTCGGCGAACGGAACAAGTTACCAGACGAATTGCAGAACTATGGATGGCTATGCAAGATCCTAGTCAACGAGAAGCCTTCGTCCCTTGTGCCGAGAGGATACGCGTTGCTGTTGCTGAGCTAACTGCTATATTTCCTCAAGTAAAATCGCTGTTTGTTTTTTTAAGCGTTTATTTTTTATTTGTTAAATCACAAAAAAAGGTAATTTCTATTATTATACCATTATAGAATCCAATAGAGGAGAATATCAGATCTGCCTTACGTCAATTAAACGGCAACACCGGAAGACTTCAAGCAGAATGTTCTGGTCTTCAAAGGTGCACCAGTGATGCCGAGCACATGGATCGTTGCCTGCAACAAGTACGTTCTTGCGCCTACGATATTGCCAAAGCAACCAAACTACTTGTTACACAGTTTCAAATGTAAATTCTTTTTATGTCACGGGGGAGGTATTGCAGTCCAATTATTTCTGTACATTTTGGAAAATGTAAATACTTTTGTATAGCGTATCAAATCTATTAGGAAATGTTGCCTTTTAAATTTTAATTATATTTGCAACGCTATTCATCTTACAACAGTGTTTGTTTTATTTGTATTGTCTCCTTGCTAAATTTGACGTAAATATGGAAGCAGATTCATTTTTTTTACATATTTAATTTTGTTTCCATACAGACACTAAATTATTAAAATGAATAAAATATGTGAAGCGATAAATGGCGTGGGGTTAGCGCGGCGTTAGCTTAGCAAGCTAGAAATGGCGGGTTCGACCGCTTTCTTTCGTAAAGCATTGGCAAAACTTGCGAGTAGTATCTTGCCAAAGAAGTAAAGATCATACAGCGGAGGGGCACAATAGTCCACAAAGGGTCAAGTGCCGAGGCGTTGGCTTTAGTCGGACGTCACGACACAGTAATGTAATAGATAGATAGATAGCAAATAACAACATTATTTGAATATGACTCACAGCACGATCTAACAAACTAAACATGACAATGTTTGAGCATATACATATTTTATTTTGCATATATAATATCTGACAAAGACTGAATAGTGATTAATCAATGAGTTTTCTTTATGTGCAGTTAAAGTTTACAAGTTTCATGTGTTTAATACATAAATTTTGCTCGAGTGGATTATAACAGATACGAACTTCATATAAAGTAGAAAGTATAGCTAAAATAGGAAATATTAGGAAATATTAAATGAGAAAGAGTTAATAATCGAGTTAATAAGTCTTACACACTCATCTTAATGATTTTTCATCATTAATTACTGCTATTTATATGTAAAATAATTTATTTAATTTTTTAATTCATCTTTTTTTATACATCATATACTTAAGATTTTTGTCTCTTATTTAATTAATTATTGGAAACAATCTGTGCAATATCGCAAATAAATTATTACTAATTTGTTAAATTTGTGCAATAAAATATACAACTATATATGGCATAATGAGGCAATGTTATATGTATTTTTTTATTGACACATATGCAGATGATGCATAATAATAAGTATGCTATAATTGTAACGTGTGGTATAATCTGTAATGAATGAGAGAGAAAGAGTAGGGAGGGAGAA